GAATTCTTGTGAAATTTTTAAAATTTATGAAAATAATTAAATGTTTGCGTAGAATTTTATTAAAATTTTTCTAAATAATTAAATTCTTTTAGAAATTTTTATTAAAATAGTAAATATTGAAAATCATTAAATTTAGGATAAAATATAAAAGTGATAACTTTTAGATACAATAATACAAAAGGTGTTTATAGAAAATGCATGTAATCTTAAAAAATATGAATATCTTTGTTGTGTTCGAAATTTGGACTGCTATTAAAAAAAAATAATGTAAAAAATTTGAAAAAATGATATTTTCCATAATTTTTTGTTTTTAAAATATCATCAATAATTTCGTAATTTCTGATTGAATTAGGCTCAAAAAAATAGGTTAGAGTTGGTTAGAAGACTTCTAAAGTTACTTCTACATTTTTTATTAACAAAATTTTCAAAAAAGTCTTGTTTCAAAATTTTAGATTTTTAAACGTTTGATATCTCCGGCTAACATGGATGAAAAATGTTCAATAAGGGGTCAAAAGATGCGCCTGAAAAAATACTATAAAATCAAAGAAAAACATTTGGAGGTGTCCTGACATTTTTTAAAAGTTATGGTCAAAAAACGATTTTTCCTGATTTTTAAAATGCAAAAAAATAGTTAATCTTTCTTAATATTGCAAAGTACTTTCATTTTATGTCCACACTTGTGGCCTTAAAACGGTCCATAAAATATGATTTTATTATTAATAAGGTTTTTGGAGTCGCTGAATTCGAATTTGAGATCAGTTTTTCAAAATTCAAAATGGCGGATCCAATATGGCGGATAAATTTAAAATTGATGCGTTTCGTTTGAAATTCATTTCTCGAGTTTTTCGGGGGTATCGCTGATTACGAATCTGATGTCAGATTTTCAAAATTCAAAATGGCGGACCCGATATGGCTACCAAATTTTTTAAAAGTTGACGGATTTGTCTGAAAATATTTGTTCGGGAGTTTTTAAAGATGCGGAATTCGAATTTAATGTGAAATTGTAAATTGTAAGAGATGCTTTCTATCTCTTTTAATTTTTTTATTACAGTTTTGTTTCAATTACACTTCTAAATTTGACATCATATTCGTAATCAGCGACTTCGAAAACCCCCGAGTAACAAGTTTTAAGTCAATCTGACCAATTTTTAAATTTTTAGTCGCCATTTTAAATTTTTTTAATGTTACTTTAAATTCGAATTCAGCCACTGTAGTTAAGGGTTTTTGGAGTCGCTGATTACGAATACGATGTCAGTTTTGCAAAATTTTCAAAATTCAAAATAGCGGATTCAATATAGCGGAAGATTTTGTTTAATTGATAGAATTTGATTGAAACTCGTAATACATTGAAATCAAAGATTCAAGATTTCTAAGGAAGTAATTTCTTGCAATTTTGTCCGATCATATACATAAATGTAGGAATTTTTTTACCACTTACTTTCCTCCACGTGCAATTTGAATTAACTTTCTAAAAAACAGTAATGGACTGTAAAAACAAATTAACAGGAAGAATGACAATTTAGCAGAGGAGTGCGGGATTTGCGTATCCTGGGATCGAAATGAAATTGCAAAGGGTCAATATATTGGTAGGAGAATTCTACTATCTAAATGACATTTCGATGTTGCGTCGTGTCGCGGGAAGGACTAAGTTCCAAAGTCTCAAGAACTGTTATACAGATGTCAGATTTTAGTGTTGTAAACATTATATGAGGTTGTAAAAGCGGTCTCTTTGATAGCAGGGACCCCATAATACGTTAATACATACGCGAAGACTCGTAAATACCATTACTCTTTTTTTATTTTCCTCATACTGTTTTTTTTTTTTTTTTTGCTTTTTATTGTAATATAAATTAGGTGCTGCCTTCTCGACAAACGGGACGACGTAAACGTTGTCAAGCTCCTCTGAATCGTGATTCCGCGGTACGCCATGTTTTTATTTAATATTACACCTCCATAAAACGAAGAGAACTTTTGGCTGGCATTCGACTTCTTTATTTGCTCGAATACGAACTCATCTATCCTGCGAACAACGCAAAACTATTTTTGCTTCTCCTTTTCATCTTGGCCCGGACGATACCACACTCACCTACATGCGCTCATCACATCAGTTTACGATTCTCCTCGGCTTCATTTCGGTAAAAGTTTATCTCTTCGTTTATGGGGTCACTCTTTATTTTCAGGTATTATTTTATTGAGAAGCAATCAGGAAACTTTAATTTATTAATATTGTTATTTATAAACCATGCTAACATATAAATGGTATGGTGAGAAAATATCGTTCGGATACAAATACTGTTGGTTAAATAACATGTGCTATTGATTATTGCAGTGTTATTATCAAACAAATCAACTATCCAAACTGTTGCCTTTCTAATAAAAATGTTTTAAGAAATCAACATATCTTTGCTCTTTAATACCTGCTCTTTAATACCTATTTAAAGCTACGCACTTTTTTGTGGTTTAACTCACAACATACATATTAATTTGATATAGAAGCTCACAACTTGACCTAAACTCACAATTCATCGCAATATAAACTTAACACACTATACATACAATCATAATACATTTGGATGATGTTGATTTGAATTCCCTTATATACAAAAATGATGAAACTAATACCGCTTGTGAGAGAGAAAATTAATTTTTCAAGTAGGTATATTCTTTAATTTAAATAAATATGAATATGTATACTGTAAATACAATTATTAATTTAACAACATTTTACACTTATTTCAAACTAATTAATATTTTTTTAATAAAATTGTATCAACCCTACATCTCAACCATTTTGCATATTTCATTACACAACATTATGCTTCTAGTTCTAAATTACGAATTATATTTTTATATTTTCTTAATTCAATACAGAAATTATTGCTTCCAAGAAATTGAATTCAATAGCATTAGCGCTATTGGGCCAATAGTTCTTTTTTCTCAGTGTACAAAATAATTTCAAAACAAATATTTCTCCATAAATATTTAAACGAAAATAACTGCAATTTCTGGTTAAATCAAGGTATATTAAAGCAAAAGTAAATTATAAGAATGAATGCATAATTTCTTGCCATAACTTCAAATTATATTTAGTGGCTTTTAACGTCAAAGTAAAACTAACAAATATTGATACCACAGAATTTTTAATGACTCAGTTGTACAATATTGAGAATAAATTACTTTTATAGAAAATTTATTTTTAAATATTTGATGTAGATAGATAAATATAAGCCAATAGTAAATTGTGTTTTCATACTTTTTAAACAAAATAATATTTTCAAAATTCAAGAAAACATAATTTTAAAGAATATCTTAAGGATAATAATGAGCTACAATGCCGAATAAAAATTGTCAATCGGACCATTGGAACTTTTACCAATAATGCAATCTTTTTTGTCATTTGTCGCCCACGTTAGAGTTTTTTTAGTATGCCTTACATAAAATTTTATTGAGTAAGAAAGATTTTGAAATTTTTAAATTCAATTTTATGAAATAATGAATGTTTTCTGTAAACGCTGAGAATTATGCTCTAAATTACTATTCAGTGGATTCTGACATTTTTAGGTAGTACATTGTAATAGGTTATTGATTTAGACCAATAGATTCTTAACTTTAATTAAGTCAAAAATCATAAATTGTAAAAATATGTGGAAGATCTCTTAGATTCTTGAGAAATTGTGTCAAAACATAACCTACTGTTAGAAATTTTTGTTAAATTCTTTAAAAAAATGAAAATTATCCAAATAGCATAAATTCTTGCATGTAAATTGATACGGATTGCATGGTAAATTTAGCAGTGTTACACTGCAATATTTTGTACCTTACACAGGAAAAAAGAAGTGTTATTTTAACACTAAAAGTAGTGTTAAAACAACACGCAACATTTTTAACCGATACTGTGTGATTTTAACACTTCATTGGTGTTAAAATAACCCTAGAGTGTGTTAAATTAACACTAGAGGGTGTTAAATTAATATACATTTCTAATGGGGTTAAAATAACACCAAAATTGTGTTAAAACAACACCATCTGAAAACTACACGCAACAAATTTAACACATATTTTTTTCTGAGAATAAGGTGTGAGATAGAAAAATGTTATCCTCGATCTCGGAATAAAATGTTTCGCTTTATACGCAAACACTGCAAAAAGATGTTTATGGCCTAAACATCTTAAGATAAGATATTTTAAGTAATTTTGTCGTTACTTTTAAGATACTTAATTTTTACAGTGAATTTACTAAAGATTTAAGTTCAAACTTCAAAATATTATGTGTTGCAAAGCTGAGTTAGGTAAAAATTATGTAAATATAAAGATGTCCACATGTGAGAAAATATTTAAAGAAAAAATTGCCTGAACATTAAATTAAATGTTCATTAAATGTTGGCTAAAAAGTTGTAATGAACATTGAAATGAAACATTTAGCGCTTAAAAATACTACAAAAACTAAACATTTCGATTTTTGTTAAACTTTTGCGTATTTTGCTACATTTATTTATGGATAATATTAATAACACTGTGCAATAAAACAAATACAAAATATAAAAAAGTGTATAGCACAATCCACCATATTAGAAATTTCATTAAACTCTTTTGTTTACAACAGAATACTTGCCAATAAATATAGAATGAAAAACTTAGTTTTGTAATACTTTTCAACTATAAATGTTGCATTGAAGTTAATAATTATTTCAGAAAGCTTTGAATATTTTTAACAAGATTTTAAATGATCTTTTATGAACACTTTCTCTGCTCGAAACTTTCTCTTCAAAATTATTAACCATTTCAGTAAAATAATCTACCAAACTCTCGTAGCTTTTAAAGGAACATATCTTTATTAATGTTTTAGGTTTATTTATTAGTTCGTTGACTTGAATACTAAATTTATTTATTAGTTTTAGAAAGAAAATAACATCAGGCAGTCAATGACAATGAGATAAATACTGAAGTGCCCATAAACTTTAGACATAAGGTTTAGAGAGATGAAGAAAGTATAAGTGTACCTTGCAGTTGATGTTGATAAAATTTTTCGAAATGAAATCCCCAAAAGAGAGTAGAATTTAATGGAGCGAGATTATGATACATGGTAACGATGGAAACCTCTCCTCGGTGAGTGTCAGCTACGAGCGATGGGATGGCATGCGATGATTCAACCGGTCATCCATTGGGCATTTTAGGCAGTTAGGGTAACCCGGTGAGTTGGGAAGTGTTACAGCATAAGCGAGTATAACTGACTACCGCACCATCGAAACTGAACTATGTAGTGGTCCTGGCACAAACTGAGCTGAACTCTAGACTGTCAGACTGAGCAGGGTGACTGCCATCCGTGAGGGGCAGTGAGGGGGAATTACAGTGTGCTGCATGGTATAGACTCAACTCGAAGAGGTAACTTCCCCTAATGATCCCTTCAAATGCACCTATGTCGAATAATCCCTACTACATGCATAAAAACTCTACTGTGTATTATTTTCTTATACATTTCAAACAAAGCTACATGATATACCGCAGAAAAAAGTAGTACTAACCATCTATCTATCTATCTACTCTGCTAATAATAATTATTATTACTAATTCAATTATAATTGAATCAGTAAAATTGTATATTATTATATCGAAATCGATGTTTAATTTATCCGTTCCATTTTTTTACGCCATAAGAACAATGCCTTAACCCATTAAGTCCTGAAGAGGAACCAGAAATTGTATATATTTAAAAAGTAACAGTAAAATTGGATCCAAATAAACAAAAAAAGTTTATCTTCTTTTAAAATTTGCTAATTTTAAAAGAAGATTAACTTTCCTTTACCTTTTAATTGTCTAGCAATATTTGAGCCGTCGGAAACGAATACCGCACGGAAAATTTGAACAACAGTTTGTGTTCGTCCTCAGTGAATATTTTCGTCATTAAGAAGTCATTCATATACCACGTGGACAATTTTTTAAAAAATTGTCCCCCCCCCCTCCTTCATCGTGGACTTTTAACAACCCCCTTCCCCCCAAAAATGTCCACGTGGACATTTTTTGGTGAAAAATTAATATTTCTGGTAGAATATGAAAACTTATAACTATAAAGAAGGTTTTTCATTTTATGATGGTAAATAAATTAATAGTTAATAAAAAAAAAATATTTACGATATTTCAAAATATCTTAATTTTATACTACAGGTCTCAAATCGACTTTAAGACGCAAAAAAAGTATCTTTAGTCGATTAAAAATAAAAAAGTCGAAAATGTCGATTATTTAATTTAATTTTATATTTTGTATTTCCCTGACCTTTCACTGATTTCTTAATTAAATTATTTAAAAATTGAATAATTCTTTTAAATAAATATCTAAATAATTCTTATTTGTTTTTGCATTAAAAGTTTTTTCAATTTAAAACCTTCTAAAAAATTTAATATTTTTTAAAAATTATAACAGTACTCTCCTAAAAATCGATTATTTTCTACAATTTTTAATTATAAATTTCATCTCTAAATCTATTTTTTTAAATAATTAGCCGACTTCGAGAATTCAATTATCGAAAAACAAAAATTCAAATTTTTATAAAAATTTCAATTGTAACTGTCCTTTTTTAAAAGTTATTGAGGTATAATATTTGAAAAACAATTTATAAAGAAATTCTTAAAATTAATTTTAAAAAAAGTTTTTAAAATAATTTTTGAAAGATAATAGTTTTTCAATTTTTACAATAAAAAAATTTTCAAACAATTAAAACTTGGTAAAATCTTTTACAAATGATTGAATTTTTGAAAAATTGAAAAATATGAAAAAAATAATAAATTTTTTGAAAAATTTTAATGAAAAAAATTTGAATATTATGGGTTTTCTTCAAAATGTTAAAAAGGATTCTCAAAAATTTTAATGTTATTATTTATTGTATATAGTATTAGAATTTTCCGAAATATATGTAATTGAAAATGTTAAAAATAATTGAATTTTAAAAAATTAGAATGAATTCAATAATTTTAAAAATTTCCAATTAAAATTGTTCAAAAGTTGATTTTCAAATATAACATAAAATAATTAAAAAAATATTTTCAGTTATATTTTACAAAATTTTAATTATTTAAAATTTTGTTTAATTATATGTTTATTTTAATATTTTTAAAATTTAATTATCGTAAAAAAATGATTTAAAAATATATAATTTAATTTGTTTATAGTTATTTTTAACACTAGAAAAATTGAAATAAGTAGCATTTTATACTAAAAATGTAGTATTTTGTTGCAATATTTTTAAGAAAAGTCGAAAGAGTTGCAATTTTTGAAAATAAGTCGAAAAAATTTGCATTTTTTGAAAATAGTCGAATAAGTCGAATAGTATCGTGAATTTTTTACACCCCCTCCCTCATTTTTTTTAACTTATTAGCAAAAATTTTGTTGTAATTCGATTCTAAATTAAAATTTTGTTTTAGAAATTAAAAACTCTTTCCTTTATATTAAGTTTTTGTTAAATAAACTATTTTTTTATTAATAAAAAATTATTTTTATCATAAATTTTATTTCAAAATGTTGACTGTCAAAAAGTTAAAAATATTTTGATAACTAGGTGTCATTCAAAATTCATCTGCCGATGAACAGTTTTTATTTTATTTTATTATTTTATTTTTTATTTTTTTTTTAAATAAAAATATTAAAAAATTTACACCGTAAAAAGAAGGGATTTAATTTTAAGATACTTTCGTAGTAACTTTTAAGTTGTTTCCAAAAAGTCACCAAAAGTATATCTTAAAATGCATTAGTTTCTAAGATGAAAGATGGAAAAATAAGTTGTTTTAAACATTTTAAAAGTTACTACACAATGTATTTTAAGTTGCTTGTTTTTGCAGTGTAATTATTATTAAATTAAAAAGAATTTATTATAACTAAAAAATTTTTCCCTACAAGCAAATTTATAAAATGTTTAAAACATTTTATAGTTTTTAATGATTTGTCATATCTTGTTTGTTTTAGGTCTATTTTATAAGTTTTTCAATTCTAGTTTTTTTCTTATAAATTCATTTAGATTAGGTATGTTAGACTTTTATATATAGAAGAAATGTTCGGTTAAATATTTTCTGTAAAATCTTTTTTCTAACGACTTTTAAGCGTCAGTTGCTCTTCAGCATTTGTCAGAAAGAAACTAAAACCACATAATTATGTTACAGAATTATCTTGAAGTTAAAATTTTGTTCTGAATTGAGTTTTTTCGTGTTTCTATTTCTTCGGCTAATTGTAATGTTTGTTTGTTTATTTGAACTGCATTAATTAAATACCTACAGTTTATATAAATACACAAACAATACAAAACGAAATTAAAAATAAAAATCCTTACAATTTCTATATTAGAGAAAAAATTCGTTATTAGTTTTGAAATTTTTATAAATTTTTTGTGTATGAGAAAGTACATCATTATGAATACAAAAATGTGCATCTAAAATGAATGTTAAAGGTTAATTACTTACAAGCAAAAAGTTTATAATAATTTTTGATTAACTTTAAATTATGCTCATAATGATCATTATCGTTATTGATCATTATGATCAATTCATAGTGAAAATTCATAGTGAAAAGATGTTAAAAACTTTGTTAGTTCTTCTGATCATAATATAATTAATGTAGTATAACATTCTACACTATTTAATAATTACTAATTCAAAAGTATGATAAATTTTGGTCGAGATGAAAGTTCCTTTCTCACATCCGTCATTCGGCAGAGAAATGGTCTTTTTAACACCTATAAAATAAGTGGTTTAGTTAGCTCGACCTTCTTTGTGATCTTGCCAAGCAGATAATTGACTAAAGTACAAATGGAATTTGTCTCCATAGAAAAATATTCTTTTCGAGCTGAGCATCAACATCCGAATCGATGCTTTGTGACACAATGGATGCAGTAGAGTCAGTATAGTCGGCTTTAAAAGAATCAAGCCGACGTGACGTGTTCGAAGGGTGACTTCCTCTCCAAACATATATATATACAATTGACGTCTGTATTAGCGTTCGCTTTCGTACTATTAGGGTAGGTAGGGTGACTAGACAGGGACGCAGAGAATCGGAGATTAGTACGTGACACACACCCGTTTCCCGACACGAAATAGGTGTGAACGAGCATGATACGGGTCCGGATTCAAGAGCTTTGCCACTTTGTGTTACTTCACTAATCTGTAGGCAAGCACAAAGCTGTTCTTTTGTTGCTTGCAGCAAAGTCAGTCAGTCAGTTTGCTGATTCGCCAGTCGGTCACTATGATCCGATGCTTTGCCGATGCTTTGGGGTTCCTTCGCCACTCTCAGCCACTCTGTCAATTTGGGGATACTATTACTACTAAAGTAAATGGCTCTCAATAGCGTTTCATCGACTCAAGCAGATGTCACATCAAACTTGTCATTTTTCTTCAAAAATCAACAACATTCTCAATCAGACCTTCATTCTTCTACATCCGAATTTTGAAAGATCCTGCAATTTCCATTAATCGTTATATCAATACACAAAAAAGCTCCTTTTCCAAGTTACGTTTTTCAAAGTTTTAATACTTTTCTAACTCGAAATAGAAGTACAACGCTTATAAATTAAAAGACGTACGCTTCTTCAAAAATTCTGTTTTAAAATAATATTCTAAAGATTAAGACAAAAAATTCTATATGCAAAAAGTTAATGATGAATATTGTTAATTGTGAATGTTTTCAATCTTTAAAACATTCATAACTTTGGATAAAATTACGACATCATAGAATGTTTGCTAATAGGTCAAAAGATTCATCTTAGAAAAGTGGAGAAAAAATATTTGTATGTCCAGAATATTTTTTTCAAAAGTTATGGACAGAAAACATTCATTAGCAATAAAACAGGAAGGAGAATATCTTTTACGTTTCATGTGGATCTCTAAAAAAAATATGGCCAACTCCCTCGGACTTAGACCCTACACCTCTACCACATATTGAACAAAGTGTATACATAATAATGTGTATATTATATATGTGAGTATATGTGTACGGTACATATCTGGTTGGGGAGGATTTTCTCGATCCATTCATCTCAAAAAGCATTCTCGCTTGAGGCAAATGTAAAAGAAACTAAGGGGGATGAGGAATAGGGAGCAACCCTGCAGTTTTGTTGGGACACTTCATTTATGCGCAAGCCTAAAGTTCTAGTTCGATTGAGGGTTTTTAGTGGATTTTTACGAAACTCTAATTTCATGTCAAGCTTTCTTAAACGAT